AAGAGCTCTCCAGCTGTCACCTGGAGATTGGCAACAGCTTGTTTGGAGGGTGGGGTCTATGGCATTGTATCTATCTGAGGTCCCCCTCTTCCTCCTCCTCAGACCCCACCCTCAGCAGGCTTCATCCCTAAAATATCCTGGAAGTTTCCAACCTGAAGTTGGCAACCCTATGTCCTTTCCAGGCAACCATTAGCCTACCTTTATCTGCCTGTATGTCTTCAGGTTTCCATCCCCACCCCCCGCCTCTGCCTAGGGAAAGGACAGTCTTTCCCTGCAGTGGGAACCAAAGCAGCTGACATCATTCTCCTCTCCCCTGTATGATCCGCACAACAACCCTGTGAGGTATGTTAAGGTTGAAAGTGTGTGAATGATCCATAATCCCCCAGGCAGCTTTTAAAACATGAACCTGGGACCTGCACACCATCCTCTGAAGCGCTCTCAGGTACATATCTGTGGCAGAAATGGGGTGACTGCTGGCACCTTTTCCTATCATTTTTTGCCTTGTGGTATTCTGCTTGTGGTGTGATCTATCTCTTTTGTGGTGCGGCATGGTTGTGTTATCAGGTTTGTTTCTTTTGAAGGGGAAGTGATGTGTTGTGGGTGAAAACATATTTTACCTCAGAATACACCAGGTCGCATATGCAACTGACAGTTACAACTGTCACGTGAGGGGGGGGGGTTGAGGTGTGGAATGGAGTGAAGTCCAATCAGTTTCCATATGCAAATGACCTTGAAATGCTGGCCCAATCAGAGAAGAGTGGCCTAGGCTGCAGTCGGTGGGAGAGAACTCAGGCAACACAGCCAGTTGATAGAGACACCTTGTGATTGACACATCACGGAGCCAAATGATTTTGGATTGCATAGAATATTGCCAGACAAAAATGCAATTATGTATAAAGAGAGATTAGGTTATCACAGCAGCTATGTTTTCTGAGGCTAATCTCATTCCCATATATGTATTTTAGAGATCATCATCCACAACTACCTCATGTTCTATCAGAATCCATGGTCCAAATAGTAACAGCAAGACCACACAGAGAGGCAATTGCTAATCTGCAATCTTTAAATTCCCATCCCCCAGAAATCCATCAAAGCATAAACTCAATAATGCTGAGGAAGTATTAGCAAGATTTTCTTCTTCAGATCAATTTTCAACAGGCAGGGTTCATCATGTATGTTTTATCAGCTAGCAGATTCACCAATTAAATTTGCATGAATACACATAGCCGTAAAGCAATTGTTTTGAAGGGGGAAAATATGTCCTTTGTTTTTAAATAATGCACATATAGATTCCTGCAAATATCACCTTAAAAGTGGTAATCCTATATGTGAAAGAGAAAAGAGGGAATTCCTCCCCTGACTGCCATATGCCATTTCTATAAGCCCTTGTGCTAAAAATAATTCTAAACATTGGAAATCTGCTGCTTGATTACATTTGACCATTTTTAAATTACTGTGTTACACAAATTATAGCACAAAAATATCTGATCTTGAGTTCAAAGCTTCCCTTGCTTACCTAAATGCTGCTCCTTCATCATTTATATGACGTTTCTCAAAGTGTCCTTTTCTCTTCCCGTTTGTATGATACAAATTATTTCTAGTTTCCAACTTCCACTAAAATGGATCATAGGGAGAAGAATTGAATTAAAATAGTTAAAGATGTGAAAAGATGGCAGAATAAATTAATGAAAAAGGAGGTATGCCTTGAAACTGTGAAAAAATTACAGGCACTAAGAGGACAGCAGTACAAGGAACTCACCATTCAGTTTACCCAAATGATAACACACATGGTATAAACAAATCTAAACATCATCCAGGCTGTTAACAAACAAGCAACTCTTCATTATCAAGGAAAAATAAATTTAACTATTTCTGCAGGACAACTTGACTGGGAATTTTTGTCTTATGAGTATATATAATATGCTTGTTTTCAGTCTCCAAATGATCTTCTCCCTCTATGAAGATAAGTAACATTATCCAAATGCATCTATTACATCTTCATTTAAGACTTAATATATTGTGGCAACAGAGGAAATAGAATCCTCTGTATTAAAATAAACCTGGCAGATTGCCCCATGAGTAGAGACACAAAGGCCTGGAGGGGAAACTGTATTATACACACTCCCTGCCGCCAGACATTGTTTTGCAATTTTGTTCCAATTGAAAACCTGGGAAATTACGGGCAGAGAACATTGAAAACAAACCATCCTATGAAATATTTTCTACTTTGGAATGAATAAATTAAATTTCAAAGAAAACATTTCACTTACTCGGAATGTATTGCATGAAAAAGTACGAGGAATTTTTTCAATGGAAAAATTGGAAGCTCAGATAAAAACTAAGATTTTTTTGTCTTTTTCAATTAGTTAAAGGCTTTATAAGACAAGGTTTTACTCATTCAAAATATATAGCCTCATTTTTATGTAAGACCATCTACAGCATTAGGTAACAGTATTTCCAAGGTACACTGTAGACACACGCACAAATTATTTTCAAGGATATCTTTATTGTTTAAATGTGAATAATCTGAGCAGCAATTAATATGCTATATATAATGTGCTGCTAGTTCTACCTCTTGTAACTACATTAAACTTTTCTGTTCACATAACAGACTTATTTTCCTTATTACAAAATTTGTTTTCTAACATAAGAAGAGCCCTGCTGGATCAATGAGTTGTCCCTCTAGTCCAGCATCTTGTCTCACACAGTGGCCAATCAGCTACTCTGGATGGCCAACAACAGGATACAGAGGGCAAGGCCTTTTTCTGATTTTGCCTTCTGGCACTAGTATTCAGAAGTTTACTGCCTCTGAATGTGGAGGTTCCCTTTAGTCACCATGGCCAGTAGCCACTAATGGACCTATCCTCCATGAATTTGTCTAATCTCCTTTTAACCCCATTCATGCTTGTGAACATGACTGAATGGCTAACAACAACATGCTTGCGGACATCACCACATCCTTCTCATATCAGCTTCTGTCCCGTCCCCCCTTTATTTTTCTTAGGGAAAAAAGAAAGGCCCAGCTCACACTGCCTGCCATGAAAGCGCGGTGCGTGATCTGGGTTATTTCACTGCTCCCTCTCAGCCTAACTAGCTTCACAGAGTTGTTGCTGTGAGGACAAAATGGAGGTAGAGACAACAATGTTTTAAGCCACACTGCAGGCCCAGTGGGAGAAAAGGATAATAAATAAACCAACATACATAAAAGAAAGGCCAAAAGAAAAGACCAAATGGCTAACTTTCACAATATTTGTTCATAACAGGCAAATGTCAGTTTCACAAGATGCCATTTAAAAATGCAATATAGTACAATGAACATTCTTTACTGTTTAAAGATATTTTTCCCATTACATAAAAGAAAAACTGTTTACTGTTTTAAAAAGAAATAAAATCTAGTATCAGCATATACACCAGACAGCAAGTAGCTTCTCTTTACCTCTTTTAAAGGATAGTCAAACTGGTGGGCATCAGTGAGTCTGGACAACGGAGACTGAATATGGACTTCATCTGATTGTGTACTGGCTTTCTTCTTTGGTATTTTAAACTGAAATAAGACATTACATTCACTTTTGTTACACATATACAGAGAAAGGAAAACGATATCTCCAAACACTGAAATATAGATTTTTTAAAACTTAAGATGTTGGAACCTACTGATGGCATTATTATGTTCATAATAAAGGACTGTAAACAATATATCAGCAATGATATATGAAACCAATCTTTAATATTTGTAGATTTTAAAACTAATAACCGTATAGCCTTCATCAATATCTTTCCTGGGGCATCTCACACACCTGAGAATAAAGACCAAGACTGCATTTTTATACGGGAAGCCAAAATGTACCTCACACAACAGCAGCAAGTAGAGTGGGAGCAGTCAGGAATAGCATCCACATTCCCCATTCCCTCCATCAAGACAGCAACTGCAAACACTTCCCTGCAGCCCGGATCCCAGTCCCTTCCCTTTCACTTCCACTGCTGAGACTTTAAAGGATGTGGGGAATGGTGCACAGGACCAAGGTGCCCCATGCTATTTTGAGGCTGAGTTCTTCAGGAAGACATTCCACCTGCAGCTCCCCCTTTGAACCAGATCAAAAGTTTTTTAGCCTGGTTTAATGGGGAAAGCCCAGGAAGCTCATAAGTCATGCTTAGAACAAGCACAGTATTATGTGAACATTCCTGTTTAATTTGTGGACTTCTTGTGTTCCATGTGTGGGGGGGATACCCATGTGGAAGCAGCGCAAGTGCTAAAAAAGGTTGTTTTCTGTGTTCCCTCACAGTGCCACAAAATGGTTACATTTTGTACACATTTCATCCCTACATCTGCAGGTTGTCCAGGGGAAAGAAACACAAGTTTCCTTCTACTGTTACCAAATCCTGGTGGTTGCTGCCCCCAAGGCTGTTTTTCACAAACTCATAACACACTTGTAACCAAAACGAAAGAGCTCCTACTCCATCACTATTGACTGAGCACAAGGAGTAACAACCAAAGAAGGAAATAAGAAATAGGAACAACTGTGATCAAAGTGAAAGGCAATAAGGCAGAAGTAAAACTCAACATTAAAGGTTTCAAAGAAAGGAGAAGGGCAGTGAACAAAGCATAACAACAGCCAGGATGATTCATTATAAGAGCAACATCAACAGAAATAAAAGAATAAATTTTGGAAATGAGAAAAGCCATGATTTAGGGATAAGACAGGAAAGAGAACAAAGAGAAGAATAAAAATGACACTGAGATTACAAACTTAATTTTTTAAAAAAGAAAACCTCTGAAGAATGGATGGCACATTGACCAACACTGAAAACCAGAGAGAATGGAAATTTCAACAAATTATTTTATTGTTCATGTTATTTTATAATATATTTGGGTTATCCTAGCAAAAATAGCAAAAAGCCAGTTACAGCACACGAGGAAAGAGAAGAAGCAGAGAGATAATTCTGAAGGTATCGTTAGTGCTACTTAGAATCTTGTTGCTATAGAACCGTATTCAGACCATGTACTTTTTCTTAGAATGTTTTGTGTGTGAGTATAACACAACTACTTAGTATTTTGTATAGTGCTCTCAACAATCAAAGCATTTTGAAAACAGTATTCTTAAACATATTCTTAGAAGCAGGTATGTTTGTTCACATTATTTATTTATTTAGCTATTTATACTCTACTTTTCTCCCCTGTGTGGCCTCAAAGCAGCATATAACATTTCCTCCACCTCCATTTTCTCCTCACAACAGCTGAGAGAATGAATGGCTGAGCCCAAGCTCATCCAGCTAGCTTCTATGGTAGAGTGGGGTTTCAAACCTAGATCTCTCACATCCCAGTTTAATAGTGTGTTCTGCCCCAAGGGTTACACAACCACTGCAGAAATTTATGACCTGAACCCCTCCCCCCAAATAATGGATACAAACCAAGGAAAACTTACTTTAAGCTGACTTGCATTTTTTCCATACCCTTCCACAGCTGTTGCTGAAAGACACAAGACAGAAAATAGCAGCATTTTGCATCATGCTATAATTAGCATTTTCAAAAGCAGGTAATTAAGTTTCACAGTATCCTTAGACGATAATAAGCATTTCTCAGATGCTAAAGATATTCCTATTCCTTGTGAACAGGAAACCTTCTCTGACCATTGCTTCCTAAATCTACACATTGCTCTAAGATAACTGCTCTTGTTCATAAGGTTGCCAATAAATACGGAAGGCATGCTAACTAGGCTCCCATTACTTTTTGCTATTTCAAGGACACTGTCTGATCATATAAGCAGGTCTATATAATTCTTTGTTTGGAAAGTTCTAAACTAAATAGAGATGCAGATTAGAATACCAACCAATTTAACTTTATAGGAGAGCAGAGATTAGAATAACAGCAAACTTTTTCTTTCCTTTTTTTCTTTCTTTGGTAGTATCTGGCAAAGAAAGAAAGAAAGAAAGAAAAAGTCCCACATATCTGTAATTCGCATATTATTTTTCTGTCATGGATACAGACTGACAGGTTGTATACAGGTAGAGTGCAGATAATGCCATCAAATCTTCTAACTATAGTTAGGATCCCAAGGATACCTCATAGGCTTTTCACCTTCCTCCTTTTTTCTATTCAGGCTTGTCTGTTCCTTCTCTCCTTTCTTGCTTAAATTTCCTGAGTTATGGTTAGGATTAATCTTAATTATCACCAAAGTCTGCATTTTGGGTTAACACCAGTTTTGGATCTATTAAGTTTTTATAATCTAGGCAGTTAGTTCAGTTTACACTTACTAGTTTCAATGGACATATAATAAAATGACTCTGTACAGGATTGTACTTCAGCTGCTCTCGATGCAGAGATTTATACAACTTCAGTAACTGGTTTGTGTGTTGGAGATGGCTCTTATGTGGTACCATTCTTTTTATTGGACCATCACTGCTGATGCATGTGGAATGAAGGGGACTAATGTTTTCTCATATGAAGGAGGGACTTCCAGATTCTGGAGTTGGACGTTACCAATATTTCATTACTACCCATCTTGGAGTAGCTGTTCTAAATGGATAAAATTTAAAAGGATGAAATCCACACAAGATGCCGGTATGTAATCTCAATGCTTTGGGAAAAGTGGATCTTCCTGTGGTAGATGGGGTAGTAAAACCCCTGATCCCCCCCCCCAATTTTTGTTATCACTGCTAAGCTATGTAAAAAATGTTCCTACATTGAGTTTTTACAAGACATATGCTGCCCTTGTCTGTAACATTACATTGTGAGTTCCAACAATTAATAACCTAATGCTTGTTCTCTGTGAATGAATCTATCAGTCTAGTACAGGTTAGGAACTCCTTTTGTAGCAACTCTTCTGGCTGCCAATTAGCTTTTGGCCTTAATTCAAGGTCTTATATCTAAAGCCATTCATGAGTTAGAATCCACATACCTCAGAGACTGTCCATATCACTGCTACAATTTATACTCTAAAGGGTAGGCCAGCACATGTGGTGAACACATTTTACTACAACTCTATATATTTCATTTTTTTTCTTAAGTACGTAGGTTAATCCAAAGCACGATTAATATTAACTGAAAACTGTTTTTATTCCTCATCCTAAACTTTAAAAGACTAAGACATTTATTTTTATTTATAGCACATTTATTTTTATGTAAGCTTTTCTGAGGAGTTGCGGTGGCTCAAGTGGTTAAGATGCTGAACTGCAGGCTGTGGAAGGTCAGTAGTTCAGCAGTTCAGCAGTTCGAGACCCGAGTGTGCCGCATGACGGAGTGAGCTCCCGTCTCTAGTTCCAGCTCCTGCCAACCTAGTAGTTCGAAAGCAAGAAATTGCAAGTAGATAAATAGGTACCACTTCGGTGGGAAGGTAACAGCGTTCGGTGCACCTTGGTGTTTAGTCATGCCGGCCACATGACCACAGAAACGTCTTCGGACAGCGCTGGCTCTTCGGCTTTGAAACGGAGATGAGCACCACAACCCTAGAGTCGGACTCGACTGGATTTCGAGCAAGGGAACCTTTACCTTACCTTTTAAGCTTTTCTGAGCCAGAGTCCACTTTGGGCTACAACCTTATAAAAGTACCTGATGGAGAAGGTCCACCCCTCAGAAAAGCCTGTTAACAGTACAATCCTATACAGCACTATGCCCTTTGAAACCCACTGATGTCAATGTTTACTTAGACTTACAGAAACCTTTTGATAAAGTTCCACATCAAAGTCTCCTAACTTAGCAGTCATGAGACAAGTCCTCTTGTGGATTAAAAACTGTTTGATTACCAGGAAACAGAGAGTGAGTATAAATGTGCGATTTTCACAGTGGAAGGTGGTAAGCAGTGGGGTACTGTGGGGCTTGGTATTAGGTCTGGTGGTTTTTGTAACTTGCGCATTAATGATTTGGAGCTGAGAGTAAGCAGTGAAGTGGCTAAGTTTGCAGATACTAAGTTGTGAACACCAGAGGACTGTGAGGCGCTCCAGAGGAATTTGTCAAGGCTGGGAGAGTGGGTGGCAATGTGGCAAATGAAGTTCAACGTAGGCAAGTGCAAAGTAATGCACACTGGAGCCAAAAATCTTAACTATAAATATACGTTGATGGGGTCCGAACTGGCAGTAATTGACCAGGAAAGAGAGAGTTTTGGTAGAGAACTCACTGAAGATGTTAACTCAGTGTGAGATTGCAATAAAAAAGGCAAATGCTATGCTGAGGATTATTTGGAAGGGGACTGAAAACAAATCAGACAGTATCATAATCCCCCTATATAAATCAATGGTGCGACCTCATTTGGAGTACTGTGTACAGTTCTGGTCACCATACCTCAAAAAAGATATTATAGCATTGGAAAAGGTACAAAAAAGGGCAACTAAAATGATGGATGCAACACCTTCCCTGTGAAGAAAGGTTAATAAGGTTAGGGCTCTTTAGCTTGGAGAAACAACAACTGAGGGGTGACATGATAGAGGTTTACAAAAATTACGCATATGATAGAGAAGGTAGACAGCTTCAAGAGAGAATTGGATAAACATAGAGCAGAGATCCATGTGTATCCAGATAGGCTTACCAAAAGAATGAGAAAGCTGATCTTGCATGCTGGGAGGGACACCCCCTCCCACTCAAAAAACATCCTACAGGAACAGAATACTATATGCTCTCTTATATTCAACAAACATGTGGAGTCTTTGGGCTGACAACTGTGCTCTCCAAAAAAAGACGTCTGCCTTCTCCTTGAACATTCTGATTGTTTCCAGTACCTAAATTCGACTGATTACCTCCCCCTACACACAAGAATTTGTTATCAGTGTTAAGCTATGTAAAGAATGTTTCTATAATGAGTTTTAGCTGTCCCTGTATAAGGGGTTCCACTATGAAATCCATCAATTAATAACCTAATGCCTATTCTCTGTGAATGAATTTATCACTCTAATATATCTTCATCCTCCCTTCTCTTCAAGGTGCTAAGAGTGGCAGACTTGTTTCCCTTCATCGTTTTATTTATTTTCATGACACCCTGTGGGGTAGGTTAGGTCGAGAACGTGAGTAGCCCAAGATCACTGCACAGGTGCTATCTGAACCTGAATCTGACAATCTAATAGCCTGTGATCTGAAGCTATGTCACAAAATACATATGCATAAACAATACTGTTTAATATAGGTTAGTAAGCATTTTGAGCTAATAAACAACTTTATCACAGTTATAATTAGGATAGTAAAGCATAGATTTTTCTGCACCTTCTAAATGCACACTTCTTTTTGAAAATACAGATATGAAGAAAATACAGATATGGAGAAGACTCTTGAGAGTCCCTTGGACTGCAAGGAGATCAAATTAGTCAATCCTAAAGGAAATCAACCCTGACTGTTCCCTGGAAGGCTGGATACTGAAGCTGAAGCTCAAAGAAGAAGGGGACAGCAAAGGATGAGATGGTTAGACAGTGTTATCGATGAAATGAACATGAAGTTGAGCAAACTCCGGAGGACAGGAAGGCCAGGCGTGATGTGGTCCATGGGGTCACGAAGAGTCGGACTTCTGTGCAACTGAACAACAACAAATTCTTTCTAACAACTGTAAGAAGTAGGGTACAGCAGCTTTTGGGAGGGGGATGTTGTTTTAATGAAGAATACAAATGTGGCACAGATCAATAATCAACTGGAGAAGGGAATAACAGAAGCTGTGTGTAATCACAAAATATAGCTTCTTAGGATCCACTCAAAGGTTTCAAACTTTCTTTTATTGGGACCTCTAACACATTAAGCATTTGTCACCCTGCAGAAATTAAACAGTTTTTCCTAGGATGAAGCCGGTCATAATGTATGCTCCACTTGCTAGATTCCAGTCTATCAGACAAATCTTAAGGTGACAGAAATTCTGACAGAAAAATACATCAATGAATACCCTGAACCTGAAGAAACAAGGCAAACTAAATGTGATGAAGTGAGTACTGACTCACTAAAGCTTATACTGCAATGAATCCTATTTGTGTCAAGAGTACCCCTGGACTGCTTTCCCCCCCTATCACTGTGATGTTTCTTGTAGGACACAAAAATAACAAATGAGCACAGGAGCTGATTAGCCCGGATTAAAACACAAAATCGAAGAGCCTTTAACACCGTACAGTGCGAGGCAGCACTAAAAAAAGACTTCAGAAAATAAAACCATATATCGTCTGTTTCTCCCGTTGATCTGACAGTAATGCCGCAATCGACTCCTAGCAGGGCTTACTTCCGAGTAAACAAGCTCGGACTGCTTATCTCGTCTCGCTCGCGAACACCTGTCAACGAAGGGACAGACGAGCCTCCCGCGCGACGACCAGTTGTATCGAAGCCTTTTTTCTTTGCTCGCCCTCCTACAATGAGCCAACAACCCCGCGGAGGGAGGGAGGGAGGGCCTTTCTACGGCAGACGGCAACGAGGCCACGACGCCTCCCGCCCCCCTTCGTCTCTCTCACCTGGCCAGAAAAGTCCACGCAAATCCTCCCCCGCCGCTCGCCTTTGTTGCGCCCTCCGAGTGCAGCGGCCGGCCTCTCCCTGAGCAGGGACACCCGCCATTTCCGAAACAGGCGCCGCCCCTCTGGAGGAGACCGGAAGAGCCGCGGTAAGCGGTTTTGTTGCCGAAGGCCACTTTCCCCTCGCCTTCCCCTTTCTAGGTTCTCTCCGGGCCCAGCTGTCGAGCACCGTTGGGGCTCTGCCTCTGCCTCACTTTCTGCGCGTCAAAGTGGGTTTTCTCGGGCCTCTACGACGAAACAGTTCTCGGCATCTCGGACGCTGGCTTGCTGCGTTAGTCTCCAGATTCCTTCAACTACACGCCCCTTTCGCCGCTATTTACTTCCGTTATTCTCACACCGCCCCCTCGGCGTAGCATGCAAAATTGTCTTCCCCCCCTAAAACGGAGCCAAAGGCTGCTTCTATACGCCGTAGGCGGTGGACTTGGCATTAGCGAGTTCTTTCTGAGTTGGTGGGGCTTTCTTCAGTGTGTCATGCCTGGGGCATTCGAATCGCCATGGCAGATTTATTTTATTATTATTTGTCCCAGCCCTTGTGGACTCGAACCCAGTGAAGCAAATTGCGAGTTAAAACGCTAATAAATGAGAAGGCTGTGACTTAGGTTTACCTGTATCAGCAGCTGTAGCTCAAAGAGGTGATCCATATCTCACAACTATCTGAAATAGGAAGTCCTTAAAAGTTGTTATTAGACGAAAAGTAAGTTTGACAGTAAGCTAAAAACCAATGTCTAGCTTCGCACTGAAACCCTTTAAATGCAATTTCGACAGAACCGCAGCTGGCATCATAATCTACTTGCAATTTCTTGCTTTCGAACTGCTAGGTTGGCAGGAGCTGGAACTAGAGACAGGAGCTCACCCTGTCTTGCGGCACCCGGGTCTTGAACCACTGAACTACTGACCTTCCACAGCCTGCAGTTCAGCGTCTTAACCACTTGAGCCACCGCAGCTCCATAGCTGGCATCATACAGAACTCATTTTTGTCATGCTCAAGGACCCGTGCCTGCTGGATTACTGCATCTGATGATTTTTTAATTTTACTTCATTTATCATTTTCTTTTCCTATTGAGACTCCGGGCAGGTTACAACATTAAAAAAAAAAAAAATATTAAAATTATACATTTATTATAGAATAATGACAGAACAGTGTTTTGAGAGGTAACCTTTTGGCCCCAAGTGCAAGGGGAAATGCAGCATCTGCTTCTGAGGATTGGGGTGCCAGAAAATGAGCATTGTCCTTGATGAGACACACTTAGGAGGTAGTTTCAGAAGATAGCCATTTGGTCTGCAGTAGAACAGCTAGATTCCAGTCCAGTAGCACCTTTGAGACTAGCAAGATTTGGGGGGTATAAGGTTTTGAGAATCAAAGCTTCCTTCATTGGATATGCAATATCCAACAAAGGGAGCTTTCTTTCAAAACCTTATACCCCCCAAATCTTGCTAGTCTCAAAGGTGCATCAGTGGCTATTGGCCACAAATTATAGATGGAACACTATGTCTGGGCCAGTGATGCTCTGTATTCTTGGTGCTTGGGGGGGGCAACAGTAAGGGGGCTTCTGGAGTTCTGGCCCTGCTGGTGGACCTGATGGCCCTTGGGTTTTGGTCACTGTGTGACACAGTGTGTTGGACTAGATGGGCTATTGACCTGATCTAATATGGCTTTTCTTATGTTCGTACTAAAAAAAAAACCACTAGTAGATATAATATGGGAGTCTTTTAAGAGTTCTGCCAACATGGTGGTTATGCCACGTGGTGGTATTCAAACATAAAGAAACCAGAATTGTGGTATTTAGTAAACAAGCTTAAGAAGCACTGATTTGTGGCAAATGGCTTACATTTTTCTCAGTATATGCAAATAGTACATATTTTACATCTGATTTTAAAGAAATAATTGAACAATGGTCTATTTATAAATTGCTTCAGACTCTTGGAATTGGAACTATAATTACACATTTATTAGAAGAGACAAAGGGAGACATTGATCTGTAGCCCATCATAATGCTTGCATCTGTTTAGACGGACCTCTGAAGAATAACAGAAGTGCCTAGAAGCCTTTGCGATTACTTTCAGGAAGCATGAATGTAAGTATATATTTACATATATTTTATAATTTTATACATAGCAGGTTATGTTGTTCTCCTCTATTTTATCCTCGTGCCAATGCTGTGAGGTAGGTTAGACTGAGAACGTGTGATTGGCCCCAGATTATCTAGCCAGCTTCCATGGCAGAGTGGGATTCTGAATCTGGGTCTTCCAGGTCCTAGTACAACACTCTAAGCACTACTGTAAATCAATAACTATAAATGTTAACTAAACACTAACCCTTTCTGGAGGGTCTGTTTAAGATCACAGTGTATATCACATTGTTTTCAATTAGAAGTATGCCCAGTTTGCACACTGAAATCAGTGAGGTGTAAACATGTCTAATTTAATTAGATCTTGTAAGCTGTCATGCCCTGATGAGGGGGTGATGTGGAGGATGCTGAGAATTGTTATTTCTCTTACTAAAACTAAGATTTGAGTCAATATCTAATGAAAAATCAGGTCTTGACAGTCAACCATATTCTTGATGTTGAAAGAACTTGAAAATATTTCCCTGAAAAAGTATGCCTTTATGACATAGCCTCTCTCCATCTATTTTATTTGTAGTGGTTGAAAATGATTGAGGATCTGAGCTTCAGAAAACTAATATATGGTTCCAAGTGCCCAGAAAAACTGAACTATGACTTTAATAAAAATGGTGAACTTAGGCATGTAGATACCAATGAACCTTTTATTTTTAATTATAGCAATTCACGTAACAATAATCATGAACGTTATGAAGTTCTTGGACACTTAATTACCCAGTATGTTTATGAAATTTTGGAACAGGTTTGCAAATTGCAAAAAATTTACATCCCAATAGATGCTCTAGACAGTGAGCCTAAGAGTTTCATTTTCATGAGTGAGAATGTATTAAGGAACTGCACGACTCTAGTTGTTCTTCTTCAAGATCGAGGAGTCTTTCGTGCTGGTCAGTGGGATCAAAAGGCCACAATTCATGAAGGGCTCCAACATGGTACTCAGATACCATTCATTACAATGGCACTACAGTGCAGTTGGGAAGTGATTGTGCTAAATCCCAATGACAATTTCCTTGCTCTGAAGACAGATGAAAAATCTTCTTGTGTTTTAACGTCATCACATGTAATTTCCAAAAGACACAACAGTAGCCCTGAAGAGCATATGACGTATGTTTGGGACCACTTCATTTCAAAGAGTACAGCTGGGAAGGTGGCTTTCATTGCTCATGGCTATGGAGGATTGGTTTTCATTAACTTGCTCATGCAGAGAACTGCTGAGGTTATGAACAAGGTATATGCTGTTGCTCTTGTTGACTCTACTCACCACACAATGCACCAGACACAAGGTAATTGCCAAGTGCAGGAATGGATCCAGAGGCATTGCCGTAAATGGATATCAAATAATAAACTTCTAGATAAAGCAGTAGGCCACTCCATGAAAACAGATTGTCCTACAGTCTCTACAGGAACTGAAAAGCGTGGTTTTGCTCCTTCCTCTAGTCTACAGTCCATTTTCAAATATCTTAAGAATGAACTGAAAATCAGCACTAAAGCACACGTTATTCGTTCTCCTATTGCAACAAGGAGTAGAAGAGTTATGAAAAAAACTTAAACTCACATATTGCTCATACTCCTGTCATTAGTAAAAGTGGCATATTGCCTTATAGCTGCTGCAGCTCACCTGTGTAACATTACACACAAAATGTTATTTAGACATGAAGAAGAGTTAATAATCATGAAAATATTCTGTAAAGTCTTATTCTGAATTATAGTTACATTTTATTTAATGGAAACTTGTGTCTTTTGGAATGTAGCAGCTGTTCCTTAGTTTTACAGTATCATAAAATAAACAGAGTTTATGGCAGAGTTTTCTTTGAAAAATATTGGTGTGAACCTGTTTTAGAAACCCCCTAGATTGCATCCTACCAGATGTCTGTTGCCACAACAGGAGGCAGGGGCAATCTCAACCAACTGCCCTTCTCATTACAGCCCTGCCTCATGTGACCTTTATCCATGTAGCTCCCACAGTCCTTGTTACAGCCTTTGAAGGGGGAGGCAGAATGACCTTCCCTGAGCTAGTGAAAAACTAACCCACTTACTGTGCCATCCTAAGTAGAACTGTACCCTTTTAAGCCTAGTGGCTGTGTAACTCTGCTTTGTATGGCACTGTTAATAGATGTAGATGAAGGGATAGTTTAGTACATAGGATCCAGTGTGATGCCAGAGTTTCACACTATGATCTGGAAAATCTAGGTTTTAATCCTGAATTTGCTATGGCAGCATGCTGGGTGACCTTAGGCCAGTCACACACTCAGCCCAACCTACCTCACAGGGTTGTGATGAAGATTAAATGGAGGAGAGCAGTACAATGTACACTGCTTTGGGTTCCCACTTAGGGAGAAGGGTGGGGCACAAATGATGCAAATAATAAGTGCAAAATACCTAGTCTGAAGTTAGGTTTAGCCTTACTCAGGTTTCCCTATTGCAGCACTGCACTTAAAAACACCTGAATTAAAGATATGCAGAACTGAACAACAATCCAAACACTATTGAGTCTGTAAGAAGCCAACCTAAGTCCATAAACAATAAGCTTCTATCACCATTCTTTAGCAGAGAACCTACTATCCATTTTAATATAAGCAACACCAGAATGTCTTACATTTCTGAAGATTAGTTTTGTTCATGGTGATGCTCATTTGATTGCTAAGAAAATCACACCAGTTAATAGAACTAGTTTAATTTTAAAGAATTAGCAACATTTAAACATTAGATTACTATGTAGAAGTAGCCTTGACATATTTATTTAGAACCTCCGTATAAGAGGTTCTTTTACTTTAATAGATTAGGAATAAATCATGTAACCTAATTTAGTGAGAATAGCTGTTCCTGTTAACTCATGACAGAATATCCGTCTTCCAATAGTGACCAATATGATTCTGAGGATAAGTCTGAATTCCTCTGATCTCAAACGTTGTTACACATTTGAAGAAGGTTTGGGCTAAGCAGACTTCTGAAGTTCACATCCCAAAATTTGTTCATCTCCATAGGGTCATTTAAATGTCCTGGTAGAGGAGGTCATATTTCAGAATATTCTTAGGATCAATTGGACTTTGGACAATGAGTTTTCCACACATTGCTCCACGGTAAATCACTTCAATCAGATCTATGAAGTCTTGTTTTGTTTTGAAACTTCCAATGAATTTAGTATGATCTGGAGATCTACAGAGGAAAGAAAGGCAAGTGGCAGCAGATTACAACTCTACAAAATTTACATTCTGAAACGTTTATTATTTGAAGTGTGACGAATTATATTGTGCCCTTCAAAGTACTTCAAACACATGCTTATGTTTTAATCCCTTTATAATAGCCCTGTAAGTTTAGTTAGTATTATTTTCATTTTGCTGGGGCTGGTGTGAGCAACTTGCCTAAGGCCACTTAGTGAATTATTGGCAGAAATAAAACTTCCCAGGTCACACTTCATTCTCTTAGCCAGTGTACTCCACCAGTTCAATCAGTAATTTTTCAGTCTTTTAAGGTATCAGGACATTCCTAAGATAGTTTCCAGCCAGATGCTTCTAGAAAGCACATAACACAATGGTTATCCACAAATATATTGCTTCTGAATTTAGAGGTTCTTTTTTGCAATCAGGGCCAATAGCCATTAAGAGACCTAACATCCTAGAATTTGTCTAATCCCCTTTTAAAGTCAGTGGTCATAATTAATGGTAGTAAATTTAATATGAATGTTGTTTTATGCAAAGCATTCTCTTTTGTCAGTCCTGAATCTACTTCCTTATCAATTTTAGTGGATGACCCCAAGCTCTAGTGTTATATAATGAGAAAAATGTCTTTACTGTAGGCATAATTTCATAAATCTCTGGCATGCCTCCCAGCTTTCCCTCTCCTAAACCAAAGAAAACACAAATGTGTTAATTTCTTCGTAAGGAATTACTCTAATGCCTTCATTTGTTACTTTTACTTTTTTGGGGGGGGCTGCTCCATGTATATAGCTGCTCTTCCAGAATTACTTTTTATTTAGTCAAGTTATGGATTGAACTATTTTGAATACAGACAAATATTAGCCTTATACTAAATCACATCTCTCCCAGTTTGAACACTATTCTTCTACGTGTTGATGCAGCTTGGAAACTTCATAAATGACTTTGATATAAAGTGGGGTTGTCAGTAGGTGAGATAAACGTATGCAAAGCAACTTACCCATAATCCACTTTCATGTGCTGTCCATTGAAAAAGAAGACTGTTGATGGAATATAAATGATGTCAAAGTACTGGGTGTATACTGGCACCTTGTTTACGTCTACCAAGTAAATTGTAGCCATTTTACTTAAGTCATGAGCTGTTTTTGCGAGCTGTAGAAATTCAGAGGGAAAGATATTAGGTCTTATATGAGAGGATAAGAAATGGAGTCTTAAATCACTACAACAATTTTTAGTTCACTGTTGAAAGTAAGATGAAAACTGAAGGTGCAATACAACTGTGTCTTATGAAGAAGAAAAAGAGTTGGATTTATACCCCACCCTTCACTCAGAGTTGCAGAGCGGCTTACAATCTCCTTCCCTTCCTCTCCCCATAACAGATACCTTGTGAGGTAGGTGGGGCTGAGAGAGCTCTGCGAGAACTGCTCTTGAGAGAACAGCTGAGAGAACTGTGACTGACCCAAGGTCACCCACCTGGCTACATGTGGAGAAGTGGGGAATCAAACCCTGTTCTCCAGATTAGAGTCCGCTGCTCTTAACCACTACACCAAACAAGGCATGAAGAAATGATGTTATCTGAATACATGAGGCTAATGGCAGTGTCGCTTGGTATTGTCAAACTACATAATTAAAGCTGAGATGGTAATTGTTTGGGGTATTACACATTTATGTGACTGTTTCACTCATTTAATAAAAATTGGAAACATTGAAAAAAGAAAAGAAAAGAAAAGAAATTGATTATGGAACGTTTTATTTTAACATGATGAATAAAATCTTTTAAGGTGTTCAAATATTTTCCAAATAATTTCTAAAATATATATATATGACATCAGATTGATCTAATTTCTGTGCACTGAGGACAAGCAAGTCCTAGGTTACAAACTGAACTCTCCAATGCAAGAACAAGATGCATTTCTTTCTTTAGGAGGTGCTATTGTCAGAAGAAAATAAAAAGGTTTCAGGTTTGTTTTTGCATGTGGATGGGTATTCTGTTTGTAACAATTGTTTGGATACACTATATTTTTAATATGCTAGTTGTGATAATTTCATGCCAAGTAAAAATGTCCATAGTCATATTTTATGTTCCTAAAGTAACAGAATGACTTTCAATCTAGAAAAGACAAAATAAATGCTAATGTAGCATTTTTTTCCATTTTCCCGAAAATTTCCGTTTTTCCCCGAAAAAAAAACGGAAAAAACCCGGGTTTTTTTCCAAGCTTCAAAATTTCCGGAAATTTTACATCTCTAGTCACACAGCACACTTTCAGTAGAAGCCTAAGCATGTTTACATAGTACTATGTCCCTCTGGCTTGAATTGGCCAGCTCCCAAACAAATGTGTAGAATTGTAGCTTTCACCATTTGTTCTGCTATATGCTAATAAGGAGTTTATTCCACCATAGAAGTTGTTGGCCAATACTAATGGAAATAGGAATGTATTACTGTGGGCATGTACTTAGACACACACACACTGCAATCTTATATCTATTGACTTGTAAATATATCCCATTGAGGTCAATACGACTTACTCTTAAGTGTGTACATGCTTACACCACTGTATTTAAAAGTCTGTATCCCACCTCTGCCTTAACCTGTGTAGGCCAGGCTAGCCTGATCTCATCTGATCTCAGAAGCTAAGCAGGAGCAGCCCTGGCTAGTATTTGAATAGGAGACCTCCAAGGAATGCTAGGCTCATGACACAGAGGCAGGCAATGGCAAACCACCGCTGAACGTCTCTTGCCCTGAAAACTCTGTGGGGTCGCCATAAGTCAGCAGTGACTTGACAGCACTTTCCACCACCATCTCACCTTTTCCCTGCTTTGAAGGCAGCTTACATCAGTACAAATACTCTTAAAGTGATTGTTTAAATAACGTCCAAAGCAATTTAGAATTCAATATTTTCCTGTACCTGCAGATAAATCCATAAAATAGAATCAATAAAATAGTCCAAGAAAACTCTTCCTTGAAAGTCCTACGAAATTATGGATAAAGAATATTTATTTTAAGGAGCCGTAAACGACCACAGAGGGAGGTACACAGAAACTCCTTTTGAGGAGCGGAGAAAGTAAGGGCTTCACTTGACGTTTTAATATTTTTATTTTAACTGTGGTAGAAAATTATTCCCGGGAAATGCTTAATCCAGTACACCATGACAAATAAATACGAATAACATGCAAAACACCCCAGTGCTCGATCTACAGACCCAAACACCTGCTCACAATATCATCCAGTTGCAAGCAGACAAGATCCTCATCTCTGCCAAAGCGAAGCACCAGGACTTTCTCGGCCACGGTCTTGATAGCCTCGTCCACTTCCTTTTTCCTGCTTAGTTTGGGCAATAGAAAACTCATGACGACTCAGCCTGAAAGCAACATTCACCCTTCCTACAGAGCTCTCCGAAGCCAACGATAAAACTAACACCCACGACGCATGCGCACAAGCCCCAGAAGCCCGCAGGAAGGGAACGATCGCAAAACCTTCCCTCAGCACCCGCTTAGTAGGTTGTTCTAGCACTTAGTGATTGGCTTAGTAGCTCTCCAATCAGTGGAAGCGATTCCCTTCGCTCTCAAAAGTTACCCCGATCAAGGCGGAACTTGTCCGTTGGCGGAGCCGTCGTGCCGAGTCGTAACTTCCGATGAGAGTGTTGCTCTCGCTTCCGGCGGGAAGGCGATTGGTAACGGACTGGGCAAGTGTGGCGTGAGGAAGCGCGTGGATTCAGTTACTGTAGGTGAGTATTACGGTAGGGGATGGAGAGAGAGAAAACAATTAGCATTCGAGTTTTGAAAAGATAGACTGAGATACATTCTGATACAAGAGAGGACTCCTCCACCCCTGTAGCGCAGAGTCTATGTCATCAGCTGCTTGGCGTAATGCTAAAGACCCCATCAGGCCATTGACGTTGTATAGATCTTCAGGAAAAAGTTATTGTTATAACTTCTTAAGCGGAAATGGATTTTTTTATAAATCCCATTCGGCCTTTTAGCTGCCAATTTGATACTCGCAAGTATTCCAGTGGAGCAGGAAATAAGGCCACAGAGAGAAGATGAGGATTTTCTGTGTGTTTCCTGACATTAGAATGCATTTTGTTAAAGCCCCCCCCCTTCCCCATGGCCTAACAAGGACTAGTATGCTTGTTTCTGCACGCAGCTATGGAATGTTGTAAGTGGCTGAGTGTCAAACTTTTTTTTTAAGGCATGAGAGGGAGAATTTGATAGACTTTCTAAGTATCCTGGAATGGGACATTATTGCCCAGGAAGGTATTAACCTTTTGTCACTAATTCTCTGCACTCATTCATCTTCAGTTTAGGATGCTGCAAGCTTTTAAGGACTCTTATCCCCCTTTACCACTGAGTCACTTGGGAGCAGGATTTATTAGCCTTGAAGGAAAAGTGGCAATAATCCCCTCTTCCCATGCTCTTTCATATGATATGACTGAGAAAGGATGGTAAAAATGCTCTTCTTTCCTGTATTGCATTACACAGGCCCCGGTCACACAGGCCGGATAACGTGGGGGGAGGCGTGGCTAATTGCTCCCGTGCAATTAGAGCTGCCAGAACACAATCCGACGCATCAGCGGCAAACCACGGGTCCTGTCCTCCCCACCTGCGCATTACCGAGGGGCCAGTGTGATCACACCGCAGGAGTCCAGAGGCAGCCCATGGCAAACCGTTTGCCACTACATGCGAGGTACTGTTTTTTAATTGCACTTTTTCAGCGGTATGCCACAGGTTGGCCACGGGTGCGCTCCACTTGCCAGATGTTGCGGTGTGATCACACCCCAATAATCCGCCCACCACCCGTGGCTCTCCCGCGGCAAATTCGCTGTGTGACCGGGACCTCAGATTCGGAGATAAATGAGCAGCTTTCTGCTCATGTAGACTCAAAAATCAGTATTAATTACTACAGTAGCTGCGGTGACTCAAGTGGTTAAGACGCTGAACTGCAGGCTGTGGATGGTCAGTAATTCAGCAGTTCAAGACCCGGGTGCCGCAAGACGGGGTGAGCTCCTGTCTCTAGTTCCAGCTCCTGCCAACCTAGCAGTTCAAAAGCAAGAAATTGCAAGTAGATAAATAGGTACCACTTCGGTGGGAAGCTAACAGTGTTCCGTGCGCCTTGGTTTTTAGTCATGCCGGCCACATGACCACGGAAACGTCTTCGGACAGCGCTGGCTCTTCGGCTTTGAAACGGAGATGAGCACCGCAACCCTAGAGTCGGATTCGACTGGCTTTCGAGCAAGGGAACCTTTACCTTTTACTATCTGGGTTATAGCACTAGACTGCATGAGTTATAAAACTAGACAAGCAGGACACTGTTAATATGTCTTCACAATTTTCTGCTATTGTTGAGGAGCTGAGTTCCCATTTGTTTTCCCCCTCTTCCCCAGGGGCCTCCCAACTTTTTCCCTTTAAAAAACACAAGAGCATCTTACATAAACGGTGCCTAACAATCATAATGTTTGAAAGTGCGGGGGGAATGAAAAAAAAACATGAGGGGAAGGGAAAGATACTGGCCACAAAGCAACATGAAGATTGCTCATTTGTAGTAAAACATGTTTGTGCTGATTTTATCCAAAGGATCAAGGTGGTAAACAACAGGCAAGAAATATGTTAAAATAAATAAAGTGACCATATAGCCTATCAGGAATACACAGTCACACTGAGAATTCTTAACCATTGTCAAACTGCCTTCCAGCATACAAAACATCCATGTTTTGAAATAGGACAGCCTTCTTTTTAAAGCCGGCTGCTATCTTGTCCCATCCATTTTCATTTATTTCACTATATATTAGTGCCACCTGACTTTTATTCTTCCAGCAGGCCATTCTGTATCCTTATAAGTAGAATAATCACATACAGCAGTTTTTAGTCACTTGGTTTTTCTTTGTAAATGGGTAGGTAGATTTGTAAAAAAAAATTACTTCAGGCTTTGGAAATGGATTATTGCTACATTGTTGTAAATTAAGATGTCTGCAAAGGAGAAGCTGGTACCATACTGACTAGTCTGTGTTTTGGTCATTTAAAAAGAAGAAGAGAAGAAGAGATTGGATTTATATCCCGCCCTTCACTTGGAGTCTCAGAGCGGCTTATAAACTCCTTTCCCTTCCCCTCCCCACAACAGACACCGTGAGGTGGGTGGGGCTGAGAGACCTCTGACACAAACTGCTCTTTTTCAAGGACAGCTGTGCCAGAGCTTGTGACTGACCCAAGGTCACATCAGCAGGTGCAAGTGGAGAAGTGGGGAATCAAACCCGGTTCTCCCAGATTAGAGTCCGCGCACTTAACCACTACACCAAAATAAGATCAGGTAGGCAAAGGCTTATCATGGTAACAGGCTAAAGAACTGTGATGCCTTTCTTCAAATTTCTGTGTTGTTTTCATTTTCTTCCATGACCTGCATAAATTCCTTATCAATGTCTTTAAAGTATTGTACTTTCTTGCCCATTGCAGTCTTAATCCTAATTTTATTTATTTTCATTTATAGTCTGCCTTTCTCACAGAGACTCTAGGTGGATTACGTATCACAGAACTATTCTGTCAATCAGTAAACCGATAACAAAATATGATATCATTTGAATGATAACAACATTTGAATCTAACATCAGAGATTCCTAGTTAAACAATGTAATGCAGTAGAGTTGGGATTAAAGAACTGGAGGGGGAAAGCACATTATTCCTAATAATACAGGTCACTTACCAGGCTGTTCCATTACACCACACCTGTACTCTCACTACATAAATACCCTCCTAAACAATTCTGTTTTTCACATTTTGCAAAACAACAGAAGAATGGAGGCCTTTCTAATAGCCTCAAGCAGACCATTCCACAATGTGGGAGCTACTACAGAGAATGCACATGAATGGGCAGCTGCCGATTTTACATGTTTGCAGGTGACACCTTCAGAAGGCTTTGCTCTGATGAGCAAAGGTATCACAGTGAAAAACAGCAGGTGAGATAGTCTGAGTGCATGGATTCAGTGCTGTTAAGAGCTTTCTAAGTGATACCTACATCCTTGAATTGAGCCCAGTAACTGATTAGTAACTAACAGAGTGTCTGCAGAGTCAGAGTGATACGAAGATTCCACTTAACACCCAATAATAGTTAGGCTACAATGTTCTGCACCAGCTGGAGTTTCTGAATTGTCTTTAAGGGGCTGACCCACATAGAGTGCTTTATGTATTTGTTTATTCAAATTTATACCCCACCTTCCCCGCCAAAGCAGGCTCAGGGCAGCTTACATGAAAATAAACCACATAAATAACAGTTATGCAATCATAAAACCTTCTAAAACCATACAAAATTATAATATTATAATATAAAGTGCTAGCAGGATCTGTAGTCAATACTGCTTAAGTTGATTGTGACAGTCATATTAACATATCCGGTGATCTGTCTTGTTGGTCAGTTCATTGGTCTTTCCTTAGATTCACAGCAAGCACAGACTGTAGATGGCGAGACCAGGTACTTTAGTAGTCTCAAGGTTAAGTGCGTGGACTCTAATTTTGGAGAGCAGGGTTTTTGATTCCCCACTCCATATGCACCTGCTGGGTGACCTTGGGCAAGCTGTAGTTCTGGCACAGCTGTTCCTGAAAAAGAGCCGTTTCTGTCAGAGATCTCTCAGCCTCACCTACCTCAGAGGGTGTCTGTTGTGGGGAGGGGAAGGGAAAGGAGTTTGTAAGCCGCTCTGAGATGCCTTTGGGTAGTGAAGGGCAGGGTATAAATTCAATCTCCTCCTCCTACTGTGAATCTACACAGCCAGGTCAGATGAATCAAGGTAGGGGGCCACTTTCCATGCTAAGTAGAGTTGGTAGAGTTGCGGCTGCATCAGCTTGCTTCTGCAGCAGTAAAACTAGATCCAGACTTGCCCTTAGCCTCTTAACCAAGACGATGGACTCCATCGGAAGTGGGGAGCCTCGTGCTCTTTAGGACCTCAGCCTTCCCAGTCAACATTATCTCCATCTTGTCTGGATTAACTTTCAGCTTGTTTACCCTTAGCCATTCAGCTACAGACACTCTATAGCATCACCGTGCGATTTGAATAAAGAAATGTAGAGCTAGGTTTCATCAGCATATTGGTGGCACCCCTTGCCAAATCCACAAATTATTTCTTCCCAAGGGCTTCACATAGCTATTGAATAACATGAGATCATGTAGTAAAGCCACCAGTGCCATTCTATCCCAGGGCTCTAGTCGGGGGGGAGCTCTCAGGTACGGAGCTCCGGAAGAGAACCTCTAGGGGGCGGGGCGGTCACGTGGTGAAGCCCCGCCCCCTTCTTTACCCCGCCCTCTGCTTCGATCCTCATTCCGTTTGGGAATGAGGATGAAGCAGGAGGGTAAGTAGCCGGGCCTTCTGACACACTTCCGGTGATGTCAGGGGGTGTGGCCTTCTGTCACTTCCGGTGATGTCAGGGGGCGTGGCATATGCAAATAAGTTATGCTAATGAGTTATGCTAATGAGCTCCGGCAGCTCTTTTTCTACAACTCCAGTGCCATTCTATCCTATAGCCAGACATGAAACCAGACTGACCAATTTTAATATCACTTTGCTCAGGAAGGGCAAGCTACAGACAGAGCAAAAATTAGCTGCATTTTTGTTTAAGTAATGGACAAATGATCGCTTGTTTTAAGGCACAATTAAATGTACCCTGGGTCGGGGATTGGTTTATGATGGACTCATTGATGTGATGTTTATAAGCTTTAAATATCCAGAATAGCCAAGAGTGTAATGCACAAGAGCTGGCGTCCACAGATTCTAGCATCTTGGCTGTATATATCACAATAACTAGCTCATGGTGATCCATAAAGTGGCTGGATGCAGTGTTGAGGTTTGTCTCAGCTGTATTATCACCATTATTCAAATCAGAGTATTTGAGATACTTTCTCAGTAAATAGCTTTGCAAAAGCATCACAGCTAATTACCACCGCTTTCTTATAGCCCATAACCTTCACTCCATCATCTTTAGCTGCCTAAAGGCTTCTTGCTTTCTTAAACAGTTTTAACCATTCTTCCTTGAGGTATTGCAAGACTTGAATATGTACTTCAACTGGCAATCTGTAGCCAGGGACGTATATATTTCTGTTATAATATTTTAAGATATGCTTAGAAACAGTTTCACTATTGCGTATGTCTGCTAATTTGCAATTATCTTTCTATATATAATTGCAGGTAACTGTTGGATACCACATTTCCAAAAATGAACATTTCCAACAAGCATCTGTTTAATGTTGTTAGAAGACTTGTCTTCCCTTTAGCTCTACAAGATGGGATAAAAAGGGGGTCATTTTTTATAAAGCCTTGCAAAGTAATTACTTGCAGAACATTTGTTTTGTCTCCTTGGTTGAGTAAGGATTCCTCGTCAGCCAGCACTGAAAAATTAGATTTGGATGGATGGAAACGTGTTGTGCGATCTGTTTCACAAGAAGAAATCAGTGAGAAAACATCAGAGAATGATGACGACTCCAATTTAGCAGCTACTAGAGAATTGATTGAGTTGTGGAGATTGCTGGGTAGAGCTGTTCCAGAACATATCAGTGAAGAAGAATTCAAAACCTTAATGGAATATCCTAGTAAGGCTTCAAAAAGCAAGTATTTAAAATTCCTGGCTATAAAGGAAGGTAAAAAGAGAGCCGAGAAAGAAAAGCGTGAAAAAAAAAAGCAAATAAGGGAGGAAGAGATACAAAAAGCTAATGAAAATAATGATGGTGAGGTAAAGAATACATTTTTGATGATGTTTTGGTCCAAGTCAGGGGATGCTATATTCAACTGGCGGGCTGCTCAGTCTATGCTCTTTGGTCAGCCTCTGGTGTTCGATATGGCCTATGAAAACAGCATGTCACACAGAGAAATGGAAAATGCAGTGAAACAGATGATGGAAGCTGAAGGGGTCAATCGTAGAGCTGTAGACCCATTTCATTTGCATTACTGTAATCTCAACATGGATGGTCCTTATCATAAAGTGTTTCTCAAACGCTATGGAGAAGCATGGGATAAGTTGTTTGTGACAGTGACAGAACAGAGTCATGTTGAAGTCTTCCCACGAGATCAGCTTGTCTACTTAACTGCTGATTCTCCTAACATAATGGAAAAGTTTGAGCATGATAAAATCTATATAATTGGATCCCTAGTTGACAAGTCAATACAGAAAGGAGTCTCTCTCGCCCAGGCAAAACGGCTGAAACTGGCAACAGCACGGCTTCCTTTGGACAAATACTTGCAGTGGGAGGAAGGTGCCAAAAACCTTACTCTAGACCAAATGATGCAAATCTTAATGAGTTTGAAAGACACTGGGGATTGGATGAAAGCTTTGCAGTTTGTTCCAAGAAGGAAACATTCTGGCTTTGTAGACCCTGCCTCTTATTCAAATCATCAGTTTGAGACGGTGAAGAAAATGAGGGTGTCTGACAAAACAGGTGGACGAGAAAAGGCAAGCAACCAGTTTGCAGGGAACTCCTTCAGGCAGCAAATGCAAAGAAAGTGGTGGGAAGATGTATCCTAATATGTTGTTCATCAATGTGATGAGTCATGGAGGTTTCTAATTGATCTTGAATGTGTTAATCTGCATTTTATTACTTTTAGAAATGATGGAGCAAATCCATCCCTGTGCTTAACTTGAAAAACAATATTATTTTATATGTGACCTAGCTGAACCCTTGAAAAAGTTCTAGGGTTTCTGCAGTTGCTCAAAAAGGATGGTTGCAACAGATCCCTCCATGCCACAAACAGATGCCTGTCCCCCACTACCTTGCTCATCTCACTCCCACCCAGTTTCAGCAATAGTCCTTGCCTTTGCAAGTAACCAGCATTGTATTAGGGGTGGTAATCCCAATTTCAGTATTCCTGGTTATCATTTCCTATCAAAATAGATTAAAATTATAGTTTGAACTAGGAGGCCAAGAAAATTATAAGGTAAAAAGAACTACAGTTCGCATAAACATTGGCAGGCAGTGACAGCCGAGATCAGAATTGCAAGAGTATATCCTGTGTTTAACAAGCTCTTGCGCAGTATTGGTTATCATCTCTCCCCCCCCACACACACACACAGTCAGTTTTCCAGGAAGCACAGATAGTAGACCCAGTTTTGAATTAGGCCCTGATTTAGAGCTCTGGTTCTGACTTGAAAAAGGTTTGAGAATGTTTGAGTTGAGAAGTTGCATTACAGTCACCTGCCTTCATCAGAAATTTGCAAGAAGTATCTCTAATGTTTCTTATTCACATTATATCAATGGGATTAATTTAATCCTGTTCTTCAATACAGTTATTGAAATCAGTGATACTTGTGCCTGGTATCAACAAAGAACTTCTCTAATATTCCAGTCTCTTAATCATATCAAAATATGACAATGCAAGCAAAGACTGCCAAAGCTGAGATATCCTACTCCTACTTAAAGAGGGTAAAAGGCAAAATAAATATAGTCTAAAATAGTTAACTTTAAGATGAGGTCAGAAAAGGATTGTGCCAAGAGCTGTAGTTTTCATGGCTTGAAAAAGGTTCATAGGGTATTATACCTGAAGTCCATTAGAAGCCCCAGCCATGCACATGTGTCATTTTTTTTTTAGTATTTGTTATGCTATATTACAGGTGGAGAGCAATTGATAGCTCAGCTATACTGCAGATGTTTTACAGTGCTAGGGCCAGCTAGTGGACATTGGTACAATGAACTGTGGCTACTTCAAACAGTTGTTGGGCAAGAAACTTCAGAGTACAAATTTTCAAGTAAATTACAAATAGACTGATAAAGGAATTACATAAATGTAAATATTGTGAGAGCTGTCTTGATACTGACATAACTGTTGAAAATAAATACTGATCTGGTTATGATATCTAGTTTTATTGTTGTTTTCTTTATTACAATCCAAATTTATAAAGATCTCACTAATTAATAAAGCACACTTTAATTGCCCTGATATGGTTTGGTTGCAGTGAATTCCAGTACATATACAGCAGCTAAAAGTATAACAACTCAATACAAAAATTAGACATTTTTTATTCTGCATGAATGTATAAAGTTATGAAATAGGCTTTTAAAAGGAAGTGCTAAAAATCTCTTATGATTTGGGGGCGTTACAAAATATTTTGAATCCCATGTAAAATAAGATATTAACTGGTCATAAACATCTTGGTTTTCCATAGTGTATGAATATAATCATTCTTATTTGGTTGCATATGTAGGATCATTTACAACTTCCAGTTTACATACATATTATTTATTCTTGGCTGCTTCAAGTTGCACCTCTGCTCAGTTGTAAGAAAATACATAGTGCTTTGTGGGATGTACGTCTGAGTAAATGTGTTTAGGGGTGTGCTATGTTTATCTGGTAAATTATCTAGCCTGGGATGAACTTTTTATCAAGTTCAGATAAAAGGTCAAATGAGCTTTGTTTAATATTCTTCCAAAAGGGGAAGATGTGACAAGGAGGACCCAATCAGTGTTCCCTCTAAGCTGAGTTAGTGTGAGCTAGCTCACAGTTTTTTAGCCTCCGGCTCACACATTTTTCTCTTAGCTCAGGAAAGATGGCTCCAGAGCAAACTAATTTATGCAGTAGCCAAATAGCTTGCTCACAACTTTAATGCCAGTAGCTCACAAAGTAGAATTTTTGTTCACAAGACTCCATAGCTTAGAGGGAACATTGGACCCAATAGATGTTGTTTACCATGACTTCAAGAAAGTTTTTTGATAAAGTTCCTCATCAAAGGCTCCTAAGTAAGCTCAAAAATCACAGGATAAAAGGACAAGTCCTTTCATGGATCAAAAACTGGCTAATTAATAGGAAACAGAGAGTGAGTATAAATGGGAAATTTTCTCAGTGGAGGGTGGTAAGCAGTGGGGTACTGTAGGGATCAGTACTCGGTCCGATGCTTTTTAGCTAGTTTATTAATGACTAGAAATAAGGCCCGTTGTGGAAATAAATACAACAAGCTCTAGCAAGAGGCTCTTGGAGAGTGCCAAGGCCTTGGGCACTCAGCGTCAATATGCCATGGCGACTTCACCAGGGTATAATGACACAGAGTCCACCATTTTCTCCAGAAGAACTGATCTCTGCTACTTGAAGAGCAGTTGTGATTTTCAGTGATCTCCAGCCCTCACCTGGAGATTGGCAACAATTGTTACTCAGGAGGAAATGGGTGGTTTGGAGGGTGGAGTCCGTGGCATTGTACCTGTCTGAGGTTCCACCCATCCTCAAACTTCACCCTCTCCAGGCTCCACCCCCCAAATCTCCATGAATTTCCCAACCTGGAGTTGGCAACCCTATCTCTTTCCCAGCCAAGCATCAACCTGCCATTATCTGCTTTGCAT